CGCAAAACTTAAACTCCAAGTTAAGTTTTCATGGGTACCCTCCCATGTTGGGATAGTAGGTAATGAAAAGGCTGACAGGCTGGCAAAAATGGCAACTGAGAGTTCAGTGTCTGAATCTATAACACACTGACTCAGTTTAAAACAATGTTGTATAATGAGATTATGGAAGAGCAAGAACTTTCTACACTCACACAACATGTAAGCAGCTGTTCGATCCAACATTATGAAAACTTCAGAAGGCTGAGACACAAATACAGCATGGGTAAAATGCTTACAGGTGATTGTGATGGAGTTGCTGCCCGTATAAGACTTGGTTATTGAAATATATGGGAGGTGAATTGCGAGAAAACTGGTAGAAAGCACCCAGAACACTCAAAATGCCATTTATGTGAGTGTGAAGGGGGCAACAATTTAGCACACTACATTACAGAGTGCACAAAGCTTAAGGACTTCAGACCTCTTGGTCTGAGCTACTTTGAACTTTGTGTGCACTTTTGCAACCCAGAGAACTTATATCCTGTACTTAGTGTATACCCAACGTTGAAAATGTAATTCTTTTTCCCTCTTCTCCGTCTACATCTTTTCCCACATTTATGTGGGGTCGATGTTTCTGGTCAGTTTTCTCCATTTATTTCTGTCCCATACCTCATCACCCAACAAACCTTTAGACCTCAAGTCATCATTGATGCAATCCATCCACCTACGCTTTGGTCTCCCTCTCCTTCTACCCTGTATATCCATTTCCATCACCCTCCTCCCAACATACTGTTCATCCCTTCTAACGACATGACCATACCATCTTAGTCTACTTTCTTGTATATTATCTGATATTTCTATAACTTTGAAAAAACAGGGGGGGAAAGGTGGAGGGAATACCTTCTCTCTCTCTCTCTCTCTCTCTCTCTCTCTCTCTCTCTCTCTCTCTCTCTCTCTCTCTCTCTCTCTCTCTCTCTCTCTCTCTCTCTCTCTCTCTCTCTCTCTCTCTCTCGCTCTCTCTCTCTCTCTCTCTCTCTCTCTCTCATATGCCTTTTTATATACATAAGCCACTTTTCCCCTTATAAGGTGTGTGGCTGAGTAAAGGAATAATACTCTGACTTTCTGGGAAGAGAAAGTACAGAGAAGGGTTCTTTCATTCCCTTCGCTCCGCCCCGCTTAGTCTACTCTTACGACACGCAGGGGAACATGGAGGAAGTATTCTAACCCCCCTCCCTCAGGAGCTCATATGTATGTATATGTGTGTACATGTGTACATGTATGTGTGCATGTATATGATATATATATATATATATATATATATATATATATATATATATATATATATATATATATATATATATATATATATTATATATATATATATATTATATATATATATTATATATATATATATATATATATATATATATATAATATATATATATATATATATATATATATATATATATATATATGTATGTATGTATGCATGTATATATATATATATATATATATATATATATATATATATATATATATATATATATATATATATATATATATATATATATATATATATATATATATATATATATATATATATATATATATATATATATATATATATATATATATATATATATATATATATATATATATATATATATATATATATATATATATATATATATATATATATATATATATATATATATATATATATATATATATATATATATATATATATATATATATATATATATATATATATATATATATATACATATATATAAATATCTATCTATATATATATATATATATATATATATATATATATATATATATATATATATATATATATATATATATATATATATATATATATATATATATATATATATATATATATATATATATATATAATATATATATATATATATATATATATATATATATATATAATATATATATGTATTTATATGTATATATGTATGTATATGTGTATGTGTGATTACCTAATTGTGATTACCTAATTGTGTTTATGGGAAAGAGCCCAATGCTCGTATCTTCCCGTCTCCTGATCGGTTCCATTTTATACTTAGTGATACTTATCATACCTGTCCTTAAAACTGTGGATTGAGATAGCATTAACTACCTCCTCGCTTAGCCAATTCCAATTATCAACTACTCTTACACTGAAAAAGTATTTCCTTACATCCTGCAAAGAAGTTTTCTTACGAAGCTTCAAACTATGACCTCTAGTTCTAGAGCCAGCCATATCAAAATATCGATCCCTATCCATTCTATCATAACCATGAAGGAATTTAAAGACTGTCACCATATCCCCCCTCACTCTTCTAGCTTCGAGTGATGGTAAGTCTAATTCCCTCAGCCTCTCATCATAACTGAGATTGCGTATTTCTGGCACCAGTTTCGTGGCATGTCTTTGAACTTTTTCAAGCTTAGCTATGTGCTTTTTCAAGTGCGGATTCCAAAAGGGGGCTGCATATTCCAGTTTTGGCCTCACATAGGTTACATAAATATTTCTGAACATTTCCTTGTCCATGTGCCTGAAGGCTACCCTTACATTTGATAAG